AATACAAAAAAAAAAGTCAACCTTCAAATAATTATGTTCAGTTGTGCACTCAATAGTCAATGCTTGGTCGGGAATCCTTTTGCAGAAATGACTGCTTCAATGCGGCGTGGCATGGAGGCAATCAGCCTGTGGCACTGCTGAGGTGTTATGGAGGCCCAGGATGCTTCGATAGCGGCCTTAAGCTCATCCAGAGTGTTGGGTCTTGCGTCTCTCAACTCTCTCTTCACAATATCCCACAGATTCTCTATGGGGTTCAGGTCAGGAGAGTTGGCAGGGCAATTGAGCACAGTAATACCATGGTCAGTAAACCATTTACCAGTGGTTTTGGCACTGTGAGCAGGTGCCAGGTCCTGCTGAAAAATGAAATCTTCATCTCCATAAAGCTTTTCAGCAGATGGAAGCATGAAGTGCTCCAAAATCTCCTCATAGCTAGCTGCATTGACCCTGCCCTTGATAAAACACAGTGCACCAACACCAGCAGCTGACATGGCACCCCAGACCATCACTGACTGTGGGTACTTGACACTGGACTTCAGGCATTTTGGCATTTCCTTCTCCCCAGTCTTCCTCCAGACTCTGGCACCTTGATTTCCGAATGACCTGCAAAACTGAGCAACAGTCCAGTGCTACTTCTCTGTAGCCCAGGTCAGGCGCTTCTGCCGCTGTTTCTGGTTCAAAAGTGGCTTGACCTGGGGAATGCGGCACCTGTAGCCCATTTCCTGCACACGCCTGTGCACGGTGGCTCTGGATGTTTCTACTCCAGACTCAGTCCACTGCTTCCGCAGGTCCCCCAAGGTCTGGAATCGGTCCTTCTCCACAATCTTCCTCAGGGTCCGGTCACCTCTTCTCGTTGTGCAGCGTTTTTTGCCACACTTTTTCCTTCGCACAGACTTCCCACTGAGGTGCCTCACAGCCTATTTGTTCAGACATTTCTTTCTGTCTTACCCTCTTGCTTGAGGGTGTCAATGATGGCCTTCTGGACAGCAGTCAGGTCGGCAGTCTTACCCATGATTGCGGTTTTGAGTAATGAAACAGGCTGGGAGTTTTTAAAAGCCTCAGGAATCTTTTGCAGGTGTTTAGAGTTAATTAGTTGATTCAGATGATTAGGTTAATAGCTCGTTTAGAGACCCTTTTCATGATATGCTACTTTTTTGAGACAGGAATTTTGGGTTTTCATGAGCTGTATGCCAAAATCATCAGTATTAAAACAATAAAAGACCTGAAATATTTCAGTTGGTGTGCAATGAATCTAAAATATATGAAAGTTTAATGTTTATCATTACATTATGGAAAATAATGAACTTTATCACAATATGCTAATTTTTTTAGAAGGACCTGTATATATCATTCCTTTTTTTGTGTGTGTTTTTCAGGGTCTGTTGTGTCTGACTATAAAGTGGGACATTTGAAGAGAAGCGGAAGTTTTGGCATGGTTTATGAGGGGACCCGCATATCCAATAGGGAAAAGGTAGAGCACTCTTACAGAATTCAACAAACATTTCCTTTAGATGTAGAGATCTGTGTCCACGGTCTCTATAAAATAAGATTAAAACACAGTTTGTAGATGTGTGGGTCGGAAAAAATTAACTGTGTTTTTCCATTTACAGGTTGCCATCAAGCATATACCCAAGTGCTATGATGACCATTATCTTGTCATTGTAAGTTGGCAAAACTTTAGATGTTTAAGTGCAGATTATCGTAATTAAAAGACTTTTAACTAACAAGCTACAGTGAAATAGACTTTATTACATCTAAATACAAAGTTTCTCAAAGCCAACTAACCTTTTCTTTTTCTCTAGCCTGGTCATCCTAAACCTCTGCTTGCTGAAGTGGCGATGATGCTTAAGTTGAGTGAACCTCCCATAAGTCCCAACGTCATCCAACTATATGACTGGTTTGAGGACCTCCATTGCTTTGCACTCATTATGGAGTACCCTCAACCATGCAAGACCTTGATGGATTGCCTTCACGAAGTGTATCCAGGTTATATGAGTGAAAAAACAGCATGTGACTTAATGTTTCAGGCAGTCAACGCTACCAAATACTGCATTGACCGTGGAGTTTTTCATAGTGATTTGCACCCAGCCAATTTCTTGGTCTGTGGAGACAGTTGGCAGCTGAAGTTAATAGACTTCGGTTGCGGTCAGCTATTTAACGGTGCTACCTGTAAGAGCAGCGAATATCAAGGTGAATTGCCAGTGTGTGTTACCATAGCAGACACTGAAATCCTGCGTGTTGTGTCTTATTTCATCACATTATATTCTTATTGATTGCAAAATTGCTCAGCGCTACAAATGTCTTATTTACTGGAGCTCCAGTGTACTGCCCACCTGAGGTCAAAACGAGGCCCAGATACTGGCCTATCCAAGCAATTGTTTGGTCACTAGGCATTTTGCTGTTTGAGATGGTCCACGGATATGCGCCTTTTAGAAAAAGAGAGGATATATTGCGTGCTGATTTTGATATTGGGAACTCTTCCTTATCCAAAGGTGAAAACAAAACACTCATAAAGCCTCTATGCACAATCTCAGTCTCAGTAACACTAAAAGTTAATAGGCTAAAAGTTGCTAAATCTATCAATTACAAATTATTTTAAAAGTATGTGATCACAGACTTTATATAAGCAAATAATACAATTTTACATGGCAAAACAGGTTCATTACTCTACACATGCAATGCATTTCACTAAAGTACTTTACCATTAATCCCAGAAGATTTTCATACAATCAACATTAGTGTGTTTCTATGACTAACCAACAATCTCTCTGAAAACTTGTACAGAATGCCGTAGGGTGATTTGCCAGTGTTTGACCCTTGAACCAGCCCTGCGACTGAATCTAGAGCAGCTCCTGCATCATGAATGGTTTGAACACCAAGTAGAATCAAGGAAGGAAGGGGATTCTGGACATCAGTGAAGGTAGTGAGGTAGTGTAACAGACAGATTACAAAACTACATTTGCATTCATTCTTGTTAGATGCCAAGCACTGCAAAGCTGTCGTAATGGAGTTCCAAACGTAGGTTCGGGAGGAGCCTAAACATTCAGTCCTGTCAATCATCATTACGAGTGTAAGTAAGCAGAAGTCTCTGCGCCATCCCAGCTACTATTCTTCTGGCATCCCTCCTCCTCCCCATCTCCTCTATTTATCTTATCCTTTCTCTGCGCAGTACTGTTATAGGGGGAAAAGCTCGGAGCTCGAGCCAAAGCTGGTTCAGCTCCTGTCTGTCTGATCATTACCATTTTGTTTGTGTCAGTGAGGAGTAGTCAACTCTAACACAAGTGTGGAGTGCCACAAGGATCTGCTTTAAGTCCTCTGCTGTCTTCATTATACATGCTTACCCAAGGTGATATCGGACAACTCTAAATTTCCACTAGACCTGATGCAATTTATAAATTATCCAAAGTTAAAAGTATGCCTAGAGTAGCCTATGTAAAGTGGTTTGTGTAATGATTTTATGGTTTGGGAATAGGGAGAGCATACAGGACAAATTCAAGCCAATTCCCCACATTTTTTCCACGTGTAAAAATCGTATAAGTGTTGTCCACTAGCTTCTTAACGCATTAATCTAAAACTTAAAAACACCTCGTAGTAGCACCTTCACCTCCACAGCACACAGATCTTGTTGCGCATGCTCTTTTTTTTTTAACACATACACATTCTTTTTTTTGCAATTGACCGACACTTAGTAGTATTACACGAACTGGTTATACCAGGATACTTTTCTACTTTTCACATTCAAACACTACAGTAAGCTGCTCGTAGCTCGCAATTCCTCTCACAAACTTTACACCACACAAAATTGAATTTCTGTAACATAATTTTCAGACTTGATCTAGTACTGCTAAAATCTAGGGCTGGGACGATACACCTATCTCCCGATTCGATACTATCACGATACTTGGGTGCCGATACGATATGTATTGTAATTTTTTTTAAGAATTGCGATTCTACAAGTATTGCTATTCGATATTGGGAAATTATTATTTTTTTTTTTTTTTTTTTTTAACGCTAGACCATGGGGAAAAGTTAAATCACACTTATACAGAGTGTACGTGATGTATAAGATGAGTCATATATTTACAAAAACAATTCATTACATCTTTCTGACTTATTTCAGAAGCATCATACAGTACTACATTTTCTTTAATAAATGATTCAATAACAAATACATTATTTAACAGTGACTTGTCGGCACCCAGTGGCGAAACAGTGTAATCGATAAATGCGTTATTTTAAGCGCCAAGTTTCTATCAAAAGCTGATTTACTGATATTCGCTGTCGTAGACATCAGTGTTTATATTTGAACTTAAAACTTTTATCCCAGTACTTCTATGATAATTTGAACTATTGTATAACAGAAATAATGATACTATGAGGTTGAAAAGACTGTTTGTGAAGCTGTTTCATGACTACTCTCTCTGGGTCAGCGGCAGCGCCAACACAGATTTGAATGTTGCGATATGATTTTGTCAAAGGTTTAATAGACAGACGAAATGGATCAGATCGCGTGGGTGTTTGAATCGAGATCAGTCTTTTAAAGATGAATCACGCAGCTCTACTGTCTTATCTCTCTCTCAGCATGTGAGTAGCGCGAGGGCTTTTCAGTGCATTCAGTCTCACGTCGCTTTCACGCGTCCTCTTGAAAGGGATAGCCTATTACGTCACTTTAACACTCATCGATAACGACACATTTCATCCCCTGTTGGAATGAAAGTGGCCAACTTCTGTCAACCTCGTCTATAAGCAAGGACAAAAATAAAGTAATTTAATTTGAATTAATATTGATTCTGTAATAAAATAATCGGTTTTAAAATCGTTTTAAAAAAAAAAAGTCGAAAAAAAGCGATACCTAGATGAATCGATTTTTATCTCCCAGCCCTACTAAAATCTAGTAATTGTGTGATTGTGGGCTGAAAAAAAATCTGCCTTAAATTCTAGTGTTTGATATTCAGTGAAAACTTTAACTTCATAAAAGTCTTTAGCTACAAAAAGAATTTGACTTCTAGTCAAGTCACCTTTATTTATATAGTGCTACAATACAGATTGTTTCAAAGCACCTTTACAGCGATAACAGGAAAATAATGCAACAAAGTTTGTTTCTGCTGTACAGCAGATCTAGAAGAAAATAGCGTCATAGTCCAGCTTAAGTAAGTTCAGTGATGTTTCATTTTTGTTGTAAAAAAAGTTATTCATTTAGTTCATTTATATATATAGCCGCTCTGGAGAAACCAGTGATGTCATTGTCCAGCTCAGTTCAGTTCTCATAATGGTGTCAATGCAGGCAGATCAATATTATTGTTGAATATCAAGTGTCCCCATTTGTCCCCACTTCTAAAATAATCAGATGTCATACAGCTAGACATTATTTAATAGTACAGTTTTTGTAGTTGAATAATTGTTTGGTCTACAGGTTTACATATGAACTAGTTCAATACAGGAACACATTGTGAGTCTACTAGAGTAAAAGATTATCTGATTGCATAGTTCAGTACAAAACAAACATCATCTCTTTATTGTTTAAATATGCATGTCAAATCATAACTGAAGACCTACTTTACGCTTTGCGTCGGAGTTCAGAGATTTTCCTTCTGATTCCAAAACACCAGTAAAATAAGAATAAACTAAAATGAAACCTATTTGCTTTCTGAACAAAATATCAGCCCATGAAAGATGTTCTTTCTATATAATGTACAACCTGCAGTTTTTATGGCCTACTAATGCCGTCAAATCACTGGATGTTGCTTTTGAAGGGCTGTTGGCAGCTGCATCGTCTGCTGTTGATCAGTCGCAGCGACGGTAGAACTGGAAGTGGTAGTCAGTAAATAAAAATTCTGCGTAGTTGGGATCGGTGCTACAATCAGCCAAACCCTGTGTGAAAGAAACATGTCAATACTGACAAAATACGGCCAAAAGATTGAAGCTGCTGCTAGTCACATCATCTACATTGCCTGTATGTAAATAGACTTTATATTTAATTAGACACTAACATAGACAGAAGTACAGTCTGATCAATATTTCATCTGTTAAGCTACCTCTGATTTTCACAAGCCTCGTATTTTAGTCCACTGGACAGACTGTACTTCTGTCCCTTACAATGTAATTTTCATTCACGCCATATTAAATACGGGGTTCACCCTGACTAAAGTCTTTAAATAAAGACAGCGTACATTCAGAGATTAACACACAAAGATGCACAGGAACTCACAGCAACTGAAGAGCGGAAATAGTAAGAGGAGCGATGGTGATTGGCCACCGCCAATGTCCACTTATGCATGTAGCCCTATGGAAAAGAAAGACTTTTAACAAATGCATGAAATCAATAACCATTAACCATTTTTTTATATGCTAATGATTTTCATTAACAGAATCAAATCAATTCTGAGGGGGAAAAAAAACTTTTAATAGTCTGCTAAAAATAAAAGTTATTATCCAATAATTATTGTAGAATTATTCTAAATGTATGATGTATTTGAACTATTATGAATATATAATATTATTATTACATTTTTAATGAAATGTTTTTCTAATGCATGTTGCTTTGAGTGAGTGTGTAAGTGCTGAAGTACCTGTGTGTTGAGGGCAGTGTTTGACTCTGGGCTGTTGTAGTCGAGTACTGTAGAGCACTGTTCGCTCTCATCATGTGAACACAAGTGGATCACCAGCAATTCATTTGTGCTGATCAAGTGGGGGAACAGAAACCCTCATTCATATCAATAAGAATGTGATTCACATATGCAGACACAGTTTTTCATAATATACTGTCTGTCTAAAAATATTACACAAGCAGGAGTGCGATATGGCTCTGATTCATCCACTTGACCAGTACGAGGCCGCTGTTCTTTACATGAACATTTTTATTTTAAACATTATACAGCTGATATGAAATATTTGAAAACCCTTGTTAAAATTACAGCTTTTTGAGATGTAAAAAAAAATTATCCAAGAAAATTCATGCCAGATAACAAACAAATAGAAACTTTTAAGAAAAATAACAGAATTAAAATAACCTGGTTAAATAACCAAGACTGTGGAGTATGAACAGTGTACTCACCTCATTTGGAGGGTTATGGGCATGTTGGGTGGGATGTGTTTACTGAGGGGAATGAGGTACGTGTAGTTCCCCTTCCTACAAAACATAGATCAATGGGTAAAATGCAAATGCATTACTATAGAACATTCTTTGATAACTTTAGTAAAAGTAAGTCAAGAAAACCCCTGAAATGCAATAAACACTGTTGTATAGACCAGGGGAGCGACGCAACTTGCTGCTTAACTACCATAGTTCGATGCATCGTTGAAGAAATCAACTAGCTAGTCGCAACCATTTCCTGAAACCGTATTGTTGCAAATTTGTCGTTCAATCACGTTAATGATGTAATGCAGGTGGTGGATAATGACTTATTTTAATTAATCCATTTGAGATAGAATTAATGCAAGATTTTTTTGCTCTAAATTAGGGACGTGGCATCTGAGGACTAATTCTCTTTTTATTATTTAGTTATTTTGTTTTATTTCCATGTTTGCACATGACAAACTAAACTAAAACACGTAAATTAAATTAGTAAATAATAAAAATAAAATAAATAGATTGTAATAAATGTAAGCTTGCTTATTTTGATCAAAACAATGTTTTTTTAAGTCTACGTCATAAAAATAAGAACCTATGCTTCTAATATGTCGTTCCAACCACACAACTTTCAGGATCAGGACCCTGATGTGAATATGATCTTCAGAAATAGCTAGTTATGGATTTCATAAAGGGAAACATATGACTGGTCACACCATGACGAGTGTTATGCTAAAAGTGAGAATGAAAAATAAACTTCCTGTGTATATTGAAGATGCGAGTTTGCTACCTACCCACAGTCCTCTTGCTGACAGTACTGCTGGTCTATAACTTGTTGATTTTGTGTTATGCGGATGGACTGTATAGTTGTGTTTGTCCCTGTGAAGAAGACATGAGCAAAGACGTAAAGCTGTGAATCTTTCTAATTCATTCTGCTATTTGGAATAAGAAATGTTTTGACAAAATGGATTTATCCTAGGGAGACATTCACAAACTATTATTTTTGCACCAAAACTATTCACACTAAGGCCATTTGTTTATAAAAGTTTATATAGCTGAAACAAAGCAGTGAGTAATGAAAAAAGCCTCTAAATAAAATGATGTTCCATATTACAACATTTCAGTCTCAGTGTAAAGGAGGTACAGTAAGGATACATCATTTTATTTTAAAATGAAATATGTTGTTTATCTGATAATCTTGGCATGAACAGGCTTTTAATCGGTCAACTTACAATCAGTAGAATTTTTGAGTTTATCTGGCAGTTGTCCTAACCACTTCTCTGAAAGAGATCAAATAAAAAATGACATGAAGTCAACCAAAAATATATATTATAGTATATTCGATGATTGAACGCTGCTACTGTGCCTCTGACCTTTTATTTTTTTTGAAAGAAAGTCAAAGGGGACGGTTGTGTCTGTCAGTTGGGTGTTATGATCATGAATTAAAGTTGAAGGACAGCAGTAGACCTCATCTGAATAAAACACATTGGAGAAATCGATGTCTGGAGGCCAGGGACCAGGATGTGTGGTGGAGAACACTGCAAACAGTCAAGATTAAATTCACCATATAAGATAAACAATGATCAAAATATACAGACCAACCAACTCGCACAAGGGCTTCTCACACTGCGTAACCCTGGGTTATCGTCTAAACTTTAACCCCGGGTAGGGGAACATTTCAGACTTGTAATTTAAAAGCAGGGTTAGCACTAATTTTTACCCGGGGTAAGCACTGCTTTTTGTGGTGTTAACACTGCAGTGCCAAACGTGTACACTGTGAATTCTATGAAACAATGCGGTGTCAGAATGTTATGACTAGATGCTTAGCAATGGACACTCAATAAGAGTGCCTTATATCAGTGGACTCCCAACCCCAGAGTAACCCCAACTCTTAACATTATGGGCCCTATCATACACCCGGCGCAATGCGGCGCCAGGTGCGAAGCAAGTGTTTTTTTTGCTAGTTTCAGCCTGACGCAATTATCATTTTCACATCCTGCGCCTCGTTGTTTAAATAGCAAATGTATTTGCGTCTATGAAAATGAGGTTTGTTCAGGCGTATTGTTGGCGCGTTGCTTTTGAGGCAACTGAAATAGACTGCACCATTGACCAACAAAAACCTGGTCTAAAGTCAATGGCGCAGTATTTTTTTTGTTACTTAAAGGGCGAGTTAGTAATGTCCCTTAGATGGTCTGCTTGCGTGCTTTAACCTCACGCACGAGCCGATCCGTTTCCTCTCTGGAGACGCGTTCAGTCTTTTCGCTTGCAACATGGGTAAATAGCAAATCCGGCGCGAGCACAACTGGCTATTAAAGGGAATGGGAGATTAGACTCTGAATGGTTTATTGCACGTTACGCCCAAAACACTCCCATTACTCATTAAGAGAATAGGGACAAGCCTTTTAGACCATGCGCCGGGAGCGCCGACCATTTTTCCCGTCGTTAAACTAGCAAAAGTGGATTCGGACACGCCCTAAGTGCTCTTGCACCGTGCTCTTTAGACCATGCGCTTAGATCGTTAAAATAGAGCCCTTTGTATGTCTCCCTAATCAAACACACCTGATTCAACTCATCAGCTCATTAGTAGAGTCTTCAAGACCTGAAATAGTTGTGTCAGATTAGAAAGACATCCAAAATGTGTACAGTTGGGGGCGCTCCAGGACCAGGGGTGGGAGCCAGTGCCTTTAAATGCACATGCTTTGGACAGTCACTGAAACAGCACGTGCTGTATAAACATTAATTTCAGTGTTTGAGGGGGAAAATGTCTAATGGTGATGGAAAACATGTTTCCAAACCATTTTTTTAATAGTACGGGGAGTCTATTCAGGAAGAAAAAAAATGTATACTATAGTGGGCAATGTATAATATGAGAATGCACAATGCTAGAGTCTTTCTGTAAACAGGTTGCGTGCCTCGTTTATCTAATCAGTGACACCGTAAATATGAAGGTTAACCCAGGTTTTAGGAATGTACAATTTGCCACGTCAGCTTGTGAGGCATAATTGAATAATTGTAAGTAATATCCTAGGTAAATTATGAGTAGTGTAAAACGTGAAGCAAGATAACCAAGGATTCAGTTTTCCTGGGGTTTAGAACGACCCAGGGTTAACTATTTCAAGTGTGAAAAGCCCTATACAGTATCTCTAAATATCTACATACAGTACCTGTGGTCAGTGCTGTTGGTGTAGTGTAAGGCGGTATAACATTCGTGTGGTTGAGACTGTATGACAAGAACATGAAATAACAGTCGATTAAGTTGCGCTGACAGTGACGCAACAAGCATGGCAAGTAATGTAATTTAACTGAATCAATGTGCACCAAACACATTGGTTTGTAGTGATAACATCACTGATGATGACATTTGTACCTGTTATTGAAGTCCATGTCCTCTTGTAATGTTAACATATGGAGTGCAATAGTACAAATGACACTGCAAAATAACAGGACAAAATAAAGTCACACGAAGGCCGATCTTGTCATGTTTTGTGAAATATTCTGTCAAGATCAAATAGAATTTCATTTGGTCTCAAACTGTCCTCAAGACCTTAATTTAAAGAAACATTCCAGGTTAAATACAACAGTGTTTGCTATTTGAGCTGTAAAAGTCTCTAAATTGTTAATTTGATGTGAGAATACATTTCTAGACACACAGTTTTTGTTCAATGTTACACGTTGAGGGACCAATTGATTCTTCTTTGTGGTAATCATAAGCTGAGCATTGATACATTATATTTAACTATATTTATTCTTTTACTTTTAAGTCCCGCACATAACATCCAGAGAGAAAAAAAACAAGATATTATTGACACAAATTTAAGAATTCGTTCCCTCATTTTAAGTAAATCATAGCCACGATGTAACTACATTAAAATGAGGGAATGAATTAGTACAGCGTGGCCACAGACTAATTAAGGCAAGAATTTTAACTAAAAGGGGTCATGACATGAAAAATCTAATCTGCCTTGATCTTTTGAATATAAAAGGTATTTGTACCATTAAACCATCCTGAAAGTTTCATAGTGACATTTGCATATGCCTGCCTCCAGAGCAAGACATCAAAGAATAGTTATACATCATCGCACAATAGGCCCCTCCTACTGACATTCAGTCTTTTAACGAGAAGGGTATTCCTGCACAACCGGAGGCTGCAGTTTCAGGACCCCAATTCTAGGACCGCAGTTTCAGGACCCTAGTTTTCTGTTACAGCGCCACCTACCGAACTGGATCACCAAAAACACTCATTTAACCCCTTTCGTGGCAAAGATCACAGATGGCCCCAGATTATTGTTGTTCAACATTCATTACTCGTTAAAACATCACACTCTTACTTGTTTGATCTAGACAAACTGCATCATTAGAAAGATTTCAAACTCCAGCTTCGATAGTTGACCACTGTTTATGATAAAACTGGTTTGCAGTGACATTAATTTCTTAATTTAGGACAGGAGTGCAAAATTATTAATCTGTAACGTTCGTTATTTTGAATAGAAATCATCACTCATAAAGCAGTCATTCACGTCTTCTCCGGTTTATTTGTGTTCACATACATACAGCATCCGCCAGGGCTCTTAGTCCAATGGTGCACATATTTGGAGAAATAATGATTTTCATGTTCCACTAAATTATACGATCTGAAGCTCAAACAGCGAACACAGCGAGATCTGTGTCTCCTCTTCCTGATTTGCGTCAGTTATGATCTCAGCGCTCTCTTATTCGCTATAGAGCTGTCAATCATCTCACGTGATTGAGCGTGACAATTAATCCTGCCCTTCTGCATGACGCACAACTGTGTACACTTCCTCATTCTGACCTCCGTGATAACAAAGCTAAGACACATCTCTTCACCCGAAACAAGAAGCTAATAAATGCACGATTTCGAGTATATGTGGTTTGTGTGTGATTTTTGATATTTTCATATGAATAAAGAATGTTTACACTAGTATTGCTAAGCAAGGTGTAGCCATTAGCTGCATATAAAATGCTAAATATAACATATTTCAACATCTTTTTTTTTACTTAAAACCATTTTAAACCGCGACTGGAATATGATACAAATTCTCGATGGTGGTTTAAAGTGAGCTTTAAGTAAAAGTGTAATATTAATCTTTTAAATTGTGTCATGTAAGTTAGCTTGATGCTACTAGCTCTAATCCACCTGTTGCAGGAGCTTTTCTATTCCATAATCTTATTTGTTCAAATATATATATATATATATATATACACTCACCGGCCACTTTATTAGGTACCCCATGCTAGTAACGGGTTGGACCCCCTTTTGCCTTCAGAACTGCCTCAATTCTTCGTGGCATAGATTCAACAAGGTGCTGGAAGCATTCCTCAGGGAGTTTGGTCCATATTGACATGATGGCATCACACAGTTGCCGCAGATTTGTCGGCTGCACATCCATGATGCGAATCTCCCGTTCCACCACATCCCAAAGATGCTCTATTGGGTTGAGATCTGGTGACTGTGGAGGCCATTTTAGTACAGTGAACTCATTGTCATGTTCAAGAAACCAATTTGAAATGATTAGAGCTTTGTGACATGGTGGAAGTAGCCATCAGAGGATGGGTACATGGTGGCCATAAAGGGATGGACATGGTCAGAAACAATGCTCAGGTAGGCCGTGGCATTTAAACGATGCCCAATTGGCACTAAGGGGCCTAAAGTGTGCCAGGAAAACATCCCCCACACCATTACACCACCAGCCTGCACAGTGGTAACAAGGCATGATGGTTCCATGTTCTCATTCTGTTTACGCCAAATTCTGACTCTAACATCTGAATGTCTCAACAGAAATCGAGACTCATCAGACCAGGCAACATTTTTCCAGTCTTCAACTGTTCAATTTTGGTGAGCTCTTGCAAATTGTAGCCTCTTTTTCCTATTTGTAGTGGAGATGAGTGGTACCCGGTGGAGTCTTCTGCTGTTGTAGCCCATCCGCCTCAAGGTTGTGCGTGTTGTGGCTTCACAAATGCTTTGCTGCATACCTCGGTTGTAACGAGTGGTTATTTCAGTCACTGTTGCCCTTCTATCAGCTCGAACCAGTCTGGCCATTCTCCTCTGACCTCTGGCATCAACAAGGCATTTCCGCCCACAGAACTGCCGCTCACTGGATGTTTTTTCTTTTTCGGACCATTCTCTGTAAACCCTAGAGATGGTTGTGCGTGAAAATCCCAGTAGATTAGCAGTTTCTGAAATACTCAGACCAGCCCTTCTGGCACCAACAATCATGCCACGTTCAAAGTCACTCAAATCACCTTTCTTCCCCATACTGATGCTCGGTTTGAACTGCAGGAGATTGTCTTGACCATGTCTACATGCCTAAATGCACTGAGTTGCCGCCATGTGATTGGCTGCTTAGAAATTAAGTGTTAACGAGCAGTTGGACAGGTGTACCTAATAAAGTGGCCGGTGAGTGTATATATGATGCAAAACCCTCTAAATCCGTCAGACTTATTTTCTTTAAATGAGCATTTTTTATCAGGCTCGTGACTAAACAAAGGGCGCCAATGTGAGTGTGCACACCGACACGAAAAACGGCACGCGTAAAAGCGTAATTTTTTTAAAAACGCCTGGTCTACACTGCCGGGAAGAAATAAGACAAGGAAGATGCGAGGCAAGATGAATGTAGAGCTTCTGGTCTCGTTGGTGTCGGAACATAAAGAACTATGACAAACGCGACAGCGACTACAGAATAGGTCTATTTCTGTTTTACATTAAGTGCCATCTAATGTCAGGGAATGAATTTGCATGTTCACTCGGCTCATCGTCAGCGAAAATCGCTTGGGTGTGAACACAAAAAATGCGTTGAAAAACGCTGACGAATAACGCGCGCCGATATTCGTCCCAGTGTGTACGAGCCTTTAGAGGATTTGAAGCAAATATATTTGTTGAACGTGTACTATGTTCAGATAGCTTTCACTCAATGTCATTATCTCATTTTTGACGGAGGTGGCGTTTAGAGGCTTTTGCATCTGATCTCTTCATATATATATATTTTTTCTAACAAGACTTAAGATAGTAGGTGGATCTTGATACTATTGGCGCTTTTCCATTACCAGTACCAGCTCGACTCGACTCGCCTTGGCTCGCCTTGACTCGGCTCGCTTTTCGCTCCGTTTTCCATTGCAGAAAGTACCGCCACAAATAGTACCCGGTCGTCATAGCGACGCCTTTCGTTCCTCGTTGCCCCATCAAGCTCTCGCTGGATCCTCTCTTCGGCAACCAAACAAGGGAATGTCTGCACCTCCTCGTTTGACCACGGCGTATTCTTCCGAGTTGCCATAATAATAGTAGTAAGTTTAGTAACTGTCTCTGGCCAAACTGTTTAAAAATGGCGGGGTTATTCTGGATACTCCATCTGGCGCGTGCAATGATGACGCAGATTCTCTGTGACCAATCAGCAGTCGGCATTGTTTTCACGTCACATTTTAGTATCGCCTTAGCTCGCTTAGAACCTCGCCGGAGGTGGTACGAAAAAAAGTACCCGAAAGCAGGTACGGGTACAACTTTTACACAGTGGAAAACCAAACAAAGGCGAGTCGAGTCGAGTCGAGCCGAGGCGAGCTGGTACTGTGTAGTGGAAAAGCGCCATATGTAGCCTACAAACTAAACCACCTGGATCCTAGAACTGGGGTCCTGGATATCATCCAGTTCGGTAGGTGGGGCTGTCACAAAAAACTAGGGTCCTGAAACTGTGGTCGTAAAACTGGGGTCCTGAAACTGCAGCCTCCGGTTGTGCAGGAACATACTACTGCTTTTAACGGCTGACATTTGCCTACACTGGATGTTGAGTGTCGCGTCAACAGCGAATAGAACCCATTATAATAACTGATGCTGTCTACACTGGATACAATATACAGTGTTCATTTTCTGACATGCTCCACGTGCTTGTGTCTGTCGACAACAGGACAAATGGAAAGTTTGCGTTTATGCGGCCTGTTTAATAAGGTCGTTTACACCTCTGTACAGACTTTAGAAGGATCCCAGCATCTGAAACAAGTGGATGGTTTATTTTAATGGCGGCACGGATTGCCTCAGAGGATTGAATGTTTGTGTAATGGAGAGTTCGCAAAGAAACTTTTGTTAAAGGTCCCCTGACATGAAATGTTCACTTTCTGAGGTTTTTTAACATTAATATGAGTTCCCCTAGCCTGTATATGGCCCCCCAGTGGCTAGAAATTTCAATCGGTGTAAACCAAGCTTTGGCTATCTTTCTCTGCCTTTGAGAAAATGAAAGCTCAGACGGGCTGATCTTAAATCTCCTCCATATGATGTCATACGGAGGAAAGGTAACCTCCCCTTTCTCTGCTTTGCCCGCCCAGAGAATTTGGCTCGCCCATGAGAAAATGAGCTAGGAAGTACGAGGCGAGCGCGATTTGAGTTTTTCCTCGAGAGATATCATGGCTTGCAAACGAGCCATTGTG